TCAAAACAAATAATGATTTAACTTGGCTATAACACAATAAATAAATAAAAATCCAAATATCCTCATCAATTAAAAAAAAAAAAGGAAAGCTGTTCTTTACAGAAAAATGCCAGCCAATAAATGTAGGAGAAATAATAGAATTAGAAAAACCATAAATTTGTAACCTCTAATGTGATAAGTAATTCAGGCAAAAATTATCAATGGATACTAAAAACCACTTGGTAAAAGGTTGTTGGGAGGCCGGGCTCAGTAGTAGCTCATGCCTGTAATTCTAGCACTTTGGGAGGCCAAGGCAGGAGGATTGCTTGAGGTTAGCAGTTGAGACCAGCCAGGGCAATAGCGAGACCCCATCTCTACAAAAAATAGAAAAATTAGCTGGACGTGGTGGTGTGTGCCTGAAGTCCTGACACCACTGTACTCTAGGCCGAGCAACAGCGTGAGAATCTGTCTCAAAAAAAAAGTTTGTTGGGGGAACAAGATATTTGCACAGTGCTAACATATTACTTTACAGATTACTTACTAATTGTAAAAGGTAGAGTTTACCTTTCCAATCAAAAGATCTGGCAGTCTGACCACCACGATAAGTGGTGTAGTATCAGGTATCATGTACCCCTTGATGTGATGTGATGTGTTGCTTTACCCATGAAGCATTCTTACCAAAAAAAATGGTTAGTCTAAATCTAATCAAGCCTCTTGACCTAATCTCTAGTTTATAGGAGATTCAGAGGAGAGGCAAGTTAAATATCCTCATAAAGAAACATCCAGAATGTGGGACATTCTATAGGACAGCTGGTCTGAACTTTTCAAAAAGTCACTGTCATGGGGGGAGAGGGGAGAAAGAAATGTTCTAAATTAAAGGAAACTAAAGAGACATAAAAAAAAATTTTTAAAAGACATTCTTGGAACAATTGTGGGGATCTGAACATGAACTAGATATCAGAAGTTACGGAAGCACTGTTACCTTAACTATGGTAATGATACTGTGGTTAGCAATAACTCTCTCCTTATTCTTGGGAGACAAATGCTGAATCATGTAGGGCTGAAGTCTCACGATATCTGCAGCTTACTGTCAAATGGTCCAAACCAACTAAATATAGCAAATATGGCAAAATGGTAACAATTATTAAGTCTAGGTGGAGGGTATTTAGGTATTCACTGTGTTATTATTTCAATTTTATTATACATTTGACATTTTCAAAATAAAAAGTTCAGGAAAAACTTGCAAACTTCCAGTCTGGGATCATAACAACACCTTTATCAGTAATAGAAAAATAAGCCAGCTTTGGTGAAAACATAATTTTGATTTTTGACATGCTGAGCTTGAGATATCTAAGAGGTCAAATTTAGAGACTTAGGAGTCCTCTACATAAAAAAATCAAGATTAAGTAGATGAGAGTTTTAAGGGAAAGCATGCATACAGAGAAACACAAAGCTCTAAGGACTGAAACTTGCAAAATACCATTAAAATAGAGGAAGAGGGAGAGATTCAGTTTTTTTTTTTAAGTAGAAAGGAATCAGTCAGGAGATAGAAGGGAAATCATAGAGGCATAATACTAAGAAGAGTCAATGGAAGACAGGTGAGTATAGCTTATGGTGTCAAATGCTTATAGAGTATACAGAACAGAGAGGCCTCAGAAAAGACTGGTTCATTTTGTGATCACAAAGTCCTTATTAAGACAAGATTTTAAAGTATGGTTACGGTAAAGCAATGGGAATGGAAACGATTATTATGAAATTAGGGAGAGGAAATGGATAGTAAGGAGAGAGAAGCAACTGCTACTTTCACTCAAACTTGAAGTCTGGCCGAAAGAGAAAAAAAGAACAAAAGTTAGAATGGGCAGAAATTCAACTGAAGAGTTTCTCCAAACCAGGAAATAATTGTGGCTGGTTGAAGAACACAAAGGCAAAATGTCAATGGAAAATGAATGAGATAATGCCTCACATGTTATTTCCACCCTAGAAACAGCAACACATTTAATGATTCTCACCAAATTATTTATCCAGCCGAATCTCATTTAACCACATCTAATTGTACATTTTTACATGGTTTGCACATTAACCTTCAGGTTTCTTTCTAGATAAATATATATATAATTTGTTCAGCTACTCTTATACAGTAATTAAGTTCCTGTCTAAGACAGTCATCAAATATATGCATTGTGTTTAGGCTTATCAGTCTAGTCTTATGGCTAGTTAGCATACTCATTAAAGAATATTAAAAAATATTGTGGTTGGGTACAGTGGCTCACGCCTGTAATCCCAGCACTTTAGGAGGCCGAGGCAGGAGGACCGCTTGAGGCTAGGAGTTAAAGACCTCCACCTCTATAAAAAATAGAAAAATTAGCTGGGTGTGGTGGCACGCACTGAGGTAAAAGAATCAATCGAGCCCAGGAATTTGAGAATACAGTGAGCTATGATGATGCTACCGCACTCTAGCCTAAGCGACAGAGCAGGGCCCTGTCTCAAACAAAAACAATATTGTCATGCCAATACACTGTTAAGCCTACAAAATAAAGATTGCTGACATTCATGAGCTGCTTAATGTTGTGTAGCACAGATGGTTAAAATGAAGAAGAAATTAATCTTGTAACAGCTAATCAGCATTTTTCCCTATCACACAAAAGTTAATACAGCCTAGATATGAAGCTTTTACTGAACATGCTATTTTAAGCATAAAAACTGGAGAAAATGTCTTCAATGAAATAAGAACTGAAATGAAACTGCATTTACTTACGTTAGTGCTGCTCTAGCCAAATCATGTGGCATCAGGTCTTTATACCTGGAGAAAGAAAGCATAATTTAAATCAAAAACCTAGAGCTT